GCTCACGCTCTGTCTCTCTCTCTCTCTCAATAATAAATAAACGTTAAAAAAAATTTTTTTTTAATAATAAATAAATAAATAAATGTTAAAAGCAATCAAAAACAAATTTTAAGCCACCCGATGGGGTACCTTTGCCACTCTTTGGAAACCCCAGGCTGAGAAATTCTCAGGCCTCAAGGGCGTCAATGGGTGTTCATGGCCAAAGACGCCCTGTCCCTGGCCAAGCCCACCTTCTGCCTCCCCAGGTACCTGATGAAGTTCCTGGCACGGCTGGCCGAGGAGCAGGAGGTGAATAAAATGACGCCCAGCAACATTGCCATCGTCCTGGGGCCCAACCTGCTGTGGCCTCCCGAGAAAGAAGGGTGAGGGGCTGCAGCTCGGGGGAAGGCGGCAATCCCCACCCCACCCGTCCGCTGCTTATTTGTTCCCCCGGGCCTCAGTTTCCCCATCCTTGGAGTGGATCAAGCAGCTCCTCCTCTCCAGGCTGCCGAAGGGAGCGTGGACCCCACGGGGCTTTGGAGATGGGCATTCTGGGTGATACTGATAGCGGGCTGCCTGGAAGGCTGGGAGCCCAGCGATTGCGTTCCAGCCCCGCCCCTCGACCTTCCAGAAACGCCTTTAGGAAGCTCACTCTCCGGAGCTCCCGCTGCTTCCTCTGTAAATTGGAGAGAAATCATTAGCAACTTTGAGGGGTTTGGCGTGGGGAATTAGACGAGAAAATGGAGAAATGTTTTATGCGCCGTAAAGGGCGAGGGGTCATTATAATTCACCCGGCCACAGATGGCACAAAGATTTCATTCGTTTGCTGAGGACGATTACTTGGGCGAGGCAGCCTAGAGCCGAGAACTACGAGGAAGAGGGTCCCGTCCCTGGCGAGCGATGCCTGTTGTGGGTGAAGGAAGGGGAACATTTGGCACGTGGGCGACACATTTGTCATCCCCCGGTGGTCCCTGAGCTTTCTGAGAACAGGCACTTGGCGTGATTGGGCCACACAGAGTTGGGGTCGCTAACAGGTTGCAGAATGGATGGCTCACCTCCGTTCCTTTTTTTGCCCCAGGGACCAGGCCCAGCTGGACGCAGCCTCAGTGTCCTCCATCCAGGTGGTGGGCGTGGTCGAGGCTCTGATACAGAACGCGGACACCCTCTTCCCGGGAGGTGAAGTTCCCGTCTTTGTGAACGTGTCCTCTTGTGCCCTCATCTGCCCAGCTGGGTGCCCTCCAGACTTAGCTTCCGTCCCTGGCGGCCTCATTATGAGGCCCGGAGCAAATTGCTTCTCTGCCGTGAGCCTCACTGTCTCCCCTGTACAATGGGGATGATCCTGCCTGCCTCGTGGGAGTGTCGTGAGGCTCACGTGGGAGTAGGGAGGAGATATGTGGTCCAGATAACGTCGGGGGAAAAGGAAAGAGGCCCTGATGTTGGCCGTTGGCTGGTGGAGGTTCTGGAAGCTAAGACCTGCTTCCTTCTGTCTGCAGACGTCAACTTCAACGTGTCAGGCCTGTTCTCAGCCCCTGTCCCCCAGGACAAGGTCAGCAACAGGCCAGCTTCTGAGGAGCTTCCAATGGTCGCTGTGTCCACACCCGCTCCAGCCCCAGCCCCTGCCCCGGCCTCAGCGGCTGCCAGGGAAAGGTAAGGACTGATGGAAATGAATGACCCCCATCTTTGCCCCAAGATGTCCTGCTTGAGGCACGATCTCCGGGCTTCCAACAGCATCTTGGGAAATGTCATTATTGTATTTTCCATCCCAAATACCAGGATTCCCCATTTGGAGTGGACGGGGTGGAGACCCAGAGGCTGTATTCCTCTCGGCCTCTAATGTGCCTCCTCGCTCGTCGTATGGCTGTTTACTGAGCACCCACTATGTTCCAGGCACTGTTTCAGGCCCTGGGGATTTAGGGAACTAGGGAGCTGGTCAGCTGGAATTTTGTAAACACCTTCCAGTGTTCTCTTTGGTCCTTCAGATCTCGAAGGGCTCCGTCGTACATGTTGTCTCCATACCAAACAGGCACTATTCTGTCATCACCCAGGCAGGGCGCAAACCGTGACTTTTCTCGGAGGAACAAAACAGACAGACGCTGGCCTTAGAGCTTGCTTTCCTAGGGCCGGGGAGAGAGAGCCAACAAGTACATCCATAAATGGGTACTGTCATGGCAGGCAGTGACACGTGCCCTTACAGGAGAAGAGAGCAGGTTAGGGGGAGGGAGTAGGGAGCTGCTCTAGCCTGGGGATCAGGAAAGCCTCCCTAAAGAGGAGCCAACTGAGCAGAGACCTGGAGGAAACCCAGAAGGAGCCATGGCCGCCCCTTCTGCTTCTTGTCCGTTCTCTGGCTTCTTGTGGCTGGAACATTCAGTGGAGATCACATGGAGGCCGAGAGCCGAGGCCCTGCTTTCTACCTGCCATCCTGGCCCATGGGGACCCACCGTCACAGTGTCACATGGAAGCCAGGGGTTCAGCGGACCCAAACTCTGGCCAATGCCAGGAGCGTCTTCTTGAGGGAGTGGGGGGGGCCCAGCCTGGGGACAGATCCCAGGCCCAGTGACCAGGGGCAGGGGACAAGTCCTGGGAGGATCCAAAGTTAGCCTGGTGCCTTGGGAGTCTCCCCAAGATTCCAGACTTCTGGGAGATGGCCAAGCTGGACCCTGGCCCTCTCCTTCTTTCACAGGATAGAGTCCGAGGCGCCCCCCAGACCAGCCTCTCCCAAGGTCAGTAGGAGCCCCTCGGAGGCAGCCACTCCAGGGGAGGACATGGCTCGAAAGAGTAAGTTGGCCAGGGGAGGGAAGGGGGGAAGAGGGTGGGCAAGGAGAGGAGCTGGGCGATCAGACCATCTCGTGTTTTCGGACAGCTGGGAGGCCAGGAATCCAGGCGGCTAAGAGCCTAGGTTTGCTGCCTGACGCTCTGGGTTCAGATTCCGGTGCTGTGACCTTGGGCAGGTGACTTCACTGTCTGCCCCCTCAGCTTCCTCCTCTGTGTAATGAAACAATGACCGCACCTACCTTGTAGGGCTGTTGGGCAAATTAAACGGTGCTCTCCTGGCTGGCAGCTGGTACCCAGTAAGTGCTCGATAAAGGTTAGCCCTCCTCCTGAGCGTAGCGGGGCTGTGGATTCCGGCCCCTCAAGAAGTCCAGAGATCAGAGTGAAGAGGTGGGATAGAGGCTTCAAAGGGCTGGTGGGCTGGGCGTGGAAAGAAACTCGGGGCTCCTCTGAGCCCCTTTGGTGCACTCACCTGTTGACTTGGCCTAAAGCCCAGCAGGTGAGAAGGTGCAGGGTTCAGATGAGGGGTCACTGCCACTGATCAGGACACTTGGGAGGGCCCAGCCAGCCCAGGAGGCACTGGAGTTTTCTCCCTGGGGGTACAATGTAGAGCTACAGGACCCTCCGGACCAGCATGGGGTTGACAGGTCACACAGGGGCCTTCCTGCAGGAGGAGGCTTCCAGCCACCATTCCTGGATGGGGGCAAGTGGGATAGGTGTTCACCGGGGCTCAGCACCTCAAGCCCCTGAAGGTCTTTGTGTCAGCCCTGGGAGGTCCAGGCTCTCATCCTATCTTAACGATGAGGAAACTGAGGCCCCAGGGGGGCAAGCGATTTGCCCAAAGCCCACAGTGGGTGGAGGCAGGGCTAGGACCCGTGTCCAGGCCTCTTGGCTCCTCAGCTGCCTCACGCGATCGGAACGGTGTAGCAGGATCTCTGAAAACCAGGGTGGGTGGCTCTGGTGGCTCCTGAGAGGTGAGAGTGGCCCAAGAATCCAGAGGAGCGGTGAGCGTTTCTTCATTCAGCGACTGTGTATCGATCCGTGGCCCGCGCTGTGCTAGCCAACCCCGCACGGGATGGCCTCGCTTAGTTTCCGTTCCAGCCGGGGACTCGAGCAAAATAAAAACGGCCATGGTCATTTCAGAGGGCAGCAGGGCCTGTGAAGAAAATACAACAGGAAAATATGACAGTAACTGGAGCAGGGCAGGGGAAGGGACACGGAGAGAGGCCTAAGTGACAGGGAGCCGGCCGTGGAAACCGTGTTCCCGGCAGAAGGAATGGCAGGTACAAAGGTCCTGCGGTAGCATGGAGCTTGGTGGACTGGCCACAGGCAATGTGGATGCCTAACTGCCCCTGTCCTTCCTCCACAGCTAAGCGCCCAGCGCCAGCCCGGCCCACCATGCCGCCCCCCCAGGTCTCCAGCCCGCGCTCCTCCCCTCCAGCCCCACCCCCCCCCCTGGCTCTGCCAGCAGCAGCCCCATGTGACCAGGCCTGCCCATGGTCTGGTCGGCAGCAGCCTCCGGGCCCCCACGGTGCCACCCCTTGCCCCCAACCCCAGCCGCAGCCCGCCCGACGCCAGAGCCGGCGTTCGCCAGCCTCCCCCAGCCCGGCCTCCCCGGGGCCGGCCTCCCCTAGCACAGTGTCTCTGAGCATGCCTGTGCAGGTGGACCTAGGGGTGGCCACAGAGGAGGGACGGGCCCCTGAGGTTGTAGGCAGGGCCTCCACTCCCCCGGCCATCCCCCCTCAACCCCGGCCCAGAAGCCTCGCCTCAGAGACCGACTGAGCTGGTGGTTTCCCCTGCAACAGTCAGCATCTCCTCCCTCCCACCGGTCTACCCAGGACACAGCCCTCGCCCTTCCCAGGGCTGGGGGCCTCCAGCCTCTGCCTACAAGTGCCTCGGTGCCCGCTGGGTCGGCCCCCCTGGCAAGGAGGACTCAGGCTAGTCCTCCACTTCCAGACCTTTTCCTCCTGAACCCACACTGGGCTTGGGGGCCCCTCACCCAACTCCCAGCTCTCTGGCAGGGTCCCAGGGGAGCCGCCGGAAGGAAGGAGGGGCCTGCCTGCCCCTACAGGACTCTTAATTGTCTCTTGCCAACATATTTTTTTGTAAGGCTGGTAAATAAATTATTTTGGACAAATCCGGAGCAGCTGCCCAAATGATGGTTGGTTTTTTCTGCCCTCCAAATAAAGAAGCCACTTTCATAAAGGGGAAGATCTTTTCCTGTTCTTTGCCTCCTTTCTTTCTTGCTGTCTGGAATGATAAGAGCCAGCATTTTTAGCTCTTACTCTGTGCTATACATTGTGCTTTTCCACGCGTGGTTTCCATGGACTCCTCTCCCTGGGAAGTGGATCCCGTCACCTTCATACAGGTTGAGGAGACTGGGGCTCAGAAAGCGACCTACCAGACACACAGCAAGTGAGGCATGGACGTGGAAGGAGGACGCGGGTCTGATTCCAGAGCCTGGGCCCGTCCCTCACATCCGGAGCAATTAACTGCCTAGTGTTCCACTTTCCTCATCCAGGAAACAGTACAGCAGTTTCCACCCCAGGACTGTCGTTCCGAGAATGAAACGGGACATTCCTATAAAGACCAAAGCATCACCCTTGCACACAGAAGCGCCCCATAAGCACTGGCTCCCGTGAATGCCAATCCCCCCAACCCCTGGTGTTCTCCGAGTAGGCAGGAAAGGCTCCCTCGAAGAGCAGGGATGGATCTGTCTGCAAACCGCTGAGGCTGCTGGGTGCTGCACCCTGAGCCAGACCCCGGCCTCAGCCCAACACCCAGGGAGCTCCTGGGAACAGACACGCAGGAGAGCTGACAATCAGAATCAAGTATAATGGCACCGGGAGCCCATGTGAAACCAGTTAGGGGCTGACCATCGAACCCAGACTCATGTCTTTGTGTGTGGAGGGCACAGGTAGGTTTCGTGGGAGAGGTGATTCAAAGAGGAGTCTTTCAGGAGTTGACCAGGTGAAAAAGTCAGGGAAGAAGGAAGAACATTCCAGGCTAAGGAGACCACCTACTACAGGAGCAAAAGGCCAGCGGGCATTGGGGACCGGAAATTATCTGAGCCTCAGAGAGGGTTGATAGGGTGTGGCTTTTCCCAGGTTGCTCCTGGAGGTCAGGTCTTCAGAGCCTTCTCAGAGGTCAGACAACTTGGAATTTTGACACATGCTTCCCCGAGTAAGGACTTAGGCAGCTAAGTCACGCTATCGCTGCTGCCTGAGCCACTGACTACTGTTGCTCTGGCTCCTTCCCTCCCCAGGGTGCTTAGTGACAGGCTGCCTCTCCCAGCCTGGTGACCCAGTGCCTCTCCACCCTGGCCTCGCAGTACAACCCCTATGTCATTAAAAAAACAGCAAATCAATAAATAAAGTCCCGGGCCCCACCCAATTAAGTCAGGATCTCTGGGGTGCTGCGTCGCTTTGGTATTTTTAAACAGCATTTGTCAAATTCACCGAACTGTACATGTAAGATCTACACATCTTACTTGTATGCAAATTAAACCTCAAAATACATGTTCCCCGGGGGACTCTACCAGGCAGCATCGAGAACGACTGGTCTAGGCCAAGGGCCCCAGCGCTCAAGAAGACACTATGCGCCTCTCTCCTAATCATACCCACACGCTTCTCAGGACTTGGCTCAGAACCGGAGCGTCCAAGGTTCAGAGGGCAAGGGGTTCTGACCCAAAGGCAACATCTCCCTTGGCATCTGTTTTCCTCCTAGCAACTAAGCTTCTGATTGGCTGGGGAACGTAAGCGCGGCTCTCCGCTCCAGATTTTCTATTCGTAACTCTTTACTGGCCAAGAAGAACGTCAGTTTATCCTTTAAAAGGCTAGTCGGGGTTGAAACTCGGCGGCAACTGGCCTAGCAGAGCTAGGGGGAGGGGCGAAGGGCTAGGCTCGGTCTTTATTGGCCCCCGCCCCTCGGCCGCGGCCGCGATTCACCGTGCTCTCCAGGCTCTGTTAGCTCGGGGCCTCGGTCCTCTCCGAGGTTCTTGCCCCCATTGGCCCGCGGCCCAGGCCGTGACTCCGCCCCCTGGCCCTTCCCGCGCGTCGATTGGCAGCTGCGGGGAACGGGGCGGGCTGCGGGCGAGCGCGCCGTGCGCGCAGAGGGAGAGCCGCGCGGCGTGCGGGCGTGCGAGCGGCCGGCCGGCTGCATGG